TATATATATATAAGTATATAATACTAACTATAATAAAAGAAGAAGTAAAAAGAAAAGGTGATGAAGAGGGGATAGAAGGGTGGGAGGAGAAAAAGGTGACGATGAAGAAGTAGAAGTAGGAGAAGGAAGAAGAATAAAACATATACACGTGCACACATACATACACACATTACACAAATATAAGTGACTTGAGAAGAGTATACTCTTAGATTGCAGCTATCAGTATTAGTCCGGCCAGCCCGGCGCGTATTCGCATTTTCTTATTCAACGAATTGTTTATATATATATACATATATAAAATTATCGTTTCAACGAGAGAGAAAGACAGAGAGTGAGAGAGAGAGAGAGAAAGAGAGAGAGAAGCAACAAATTATGATTATATTTAGAAACTCGAGTGACACGAGATTAAAGCGTGTACGTATTTTATTCATTATATTGTCGTTGAAATAAAATTAAGATAAATAATAATAATAATAATAATAATAATCGAATAGAATAGTTTATTTAAATATTTGCCAGATAAATTTAATACAGGGTGTCGCGTGTAACAAATTAAATTCGTATTGGTAAATGTATTGTACTATTACGTGTTTAACGTGTGTGCTAGTGTGTGTCTCTAAGAAAGAGTGTATTATTATTTTTTGTTTATTTCTCTTTTTAAATTCTACAATTTTTAAAGAGAGAAAGAAAGAAAGAGAAAGAGAAAGAGAGAAGTGTAACGTGATCAGTGATAAGACGAGTAACGTATGATTCACGTGAACATTTTTTCGATGATAAAAACTAAAACGAATTTAATAAATTTGAATTGAAACGAATAAAATAGTAGTAGTAGTAATAATGTATATATATATATATATGTGTGTATATTTATCTATATATAATTTGGAAATAAATGGATAAAAGGAAATAATAAAAGATAAATAGACAGACAGACAGATAGATAGACAAACATAGAAGTTATTTCGTAGAAATCTAATCTTTTTACAAGCACCGAGTGATAAGAAAAAGAAAAAGAAGAATAAGAATAAGAATAAGAAACACGCGCGTTGACGATGACGACGATGATGATGATGATGATGATGATTATGTTGTTCAATTTATGTGAAAAGTTTGTGAATTATTCGAAATATATTCGTTAATATAATGAAATATATATATGAAAGTGTGTAAATAGAAATGAAAATGAAATGAACGTATAATCGTGTCCTTCGATTGTGTGTGTGGCTGTGTGTATTACAAAATTAATCACAATAATTTCAATGATTCATATTTATTTATATAATTTTATAGTGCGTGTAATATATATATATATATATACGAATAATTCGTTTGAATTAATAAATGTGAAAATTTGTTCGTATGATACTTTGAAACCTAACAGAAGAGAAACTGCTAGTTCGATTTCTATCACGACGACGAGTGTGGTGTGGTGTGTGTGTATGTGTGTGAATGTGTGTTACATTGCTCTTTCAACTTTGGACTTGATAAAACAAAGTTATATTTGTGAAAAAAGAAAAATAAATAAGGAAGGAAGAAAGGAAAGAATCGTAGACCCCCATTGATTTTGAATATAAATCAATAAAATTTCGTATTATAGATTGATTTCGAATCAAGAACAACCAACAACCACGATCCAACGTTCAACAACAATCAACTATTTCGATCATCTTGGGTTTTTTTTTTTGTTTTTTTTTTTTTTTTTTTTAACGCTCGATACTCTTATTTATAACACGAAAAGAATGGTACGTCCATTTTTTTTTTTTTTTTTGAGAGAGATTTTTCCATCATTTTTTTTCCTCTCTCTTTTTATCTTTATTTTTATTATTTTTCTTTTTCTTTTTGTATCGAGTGTTTTTTTTTTTTTTGTACGCGTATGATATGGTGTAATAAAGAAATGTAGGAATTTTGTGCGTTCAACTTTGTTAAGACAAAAATTTGCACGTATAATTCTGTTTGTTAATAATAATAAAATGAAATGATCACGTTTAAAATAATCAACGCGAAGAAAACGAGATGTGTGTGTGTGTCGTGTAAGAGAGAGAGAGAAAGTAAGAGTTGATAACAAGCATTGATTGTTTCGTCAAATGAATAATAAAAAAAAGAAAAATCAGCACGAACATATTATACATTGCTTTGCTGCTTTTCGTATTACTAGGAAAATAAAAATTACGACAATGGTTGACGTCGTATCGTGTCGTGGCAAAAACGATAAAAATGATATCATTTAAGTAAGCGTCAGGGTCGTATGTTTCACATTATGTTAGATAAAATAATGATGATTGTTGCTATGTTGGTACCACGTGATAGTACAATAATTTCTAGGTAGAAATTTTTTTTTTTTTTTTTTTTTGAGTATAACGCGAAGGGTTCATAATTTTTTAGATCAAACGTTAAACAAAAATAATATCGTGAAGTTAAGTTAACGCACGTAGGTTGGGATTGATGAAAGGTTAAAAACATTTTTATGGTTTTACTACACTTTTTTATCTTTGTAATAAAAATTATTTAATTGTTATTGACTGAAGTTGTCTCAGAGTATTAAAAAAATTCATTTTATTAATTATTATAATATTATTACAAAATGAATATAATATAATAGTTAAACGTTTATGTTGTGTTAATAATTTTCTAAATTGGAAACGAATAAGATAAATTTGTCCACTTTAGTATAATAATAATAATAATCGTTGATTTTCAATCGACAAATTGAATATCCTTGATGATATTATCGAAAATTTAGTTTCCTATTTTCCAACTTTTTCGATTTTGGATTCGGTATTGAATAGAACAACATCATAGTGTGTTATCTTTAGAAGTTTTCTCGATAAACGTTTGTCGTGTATATCAGTAGTTTATGTTCAAAGGTGTCGATACCGTGAAAGTGATTACACAATAGTGTTCTTCATGATCTACCGATTGCATCGGGTTGCTCCCCATAGTCCCAAGGTCTTTTGTACCCTTTCTATATACTCTTGTCTTCTTCTTCTTCTTCTTCTTCTATACAAGCCTCTTCTCTTTAATTTATTTTCATTTTATCATACAATCGAGTAATCGAGACGTAAGAACGAGTCTTTTAAAAACAACCTTCATTCCTATTTTACTTATCAAACAATTATTTATCTTTTTAATTGTTCATCGAATTATCTACTAAGGTTAAATACCTAATTTCTTTGTCATAATAATCAATTGGAAAATAATAGTTGTATTTAATTTATTTATTGTTAAATATTTTTCTTATTTTTTCGTTTACTCGAGTTTTATGCTAATTCGAAATTCATTTTTCTTTTCCTTTCTTTCAATTCTGTTTGATTTTGTTTTTTTTTTGTTTCATTTGTTTGCATGTAACAGAATACGTGTACATACGTATAACATTTCAGTGTACTCTTGTTAGAGAGAATCCACTTAATTTATCTCCGTTTTCTACGATAACAAAGCTTTCGTATCCTCGAAAATACAGTGCTTTATATTAACCGAAAGAAAGTAGGTCACTTGGTGTCCGTTTTTAATGAACCAGGAACTACCCTCACCCTCACCCTGTGTTTCTTGGATCTAAGTATCTTGGATTATTAATCAAGATTTTTATGGCACTTAGGGGAATTGTTCAGGAACAATGACATCCCACATTTATTTTATTATCTTTATTACTTCATATATTATTATTATTATTATTATATTATATTTCATTTGTATATTTAATATAAATGTGTGGATGTTTGTGAAAATATCTTATACGATCTTTAACATTTTGATTGGTATTAAATAAAAACACATATATCATTTGAATTGAATTTGAATGCATACGCGAAATACCAAGAAGAATATATAAATAAATTTGAATGTGTGATTTTTGTAGCAGCAGGTGGTGGTCAAATGATAAACTATAGTTCATATTTTCTATCGTTATAAATATTCGTCGATTCTTGGCTCGATTTTCTGACGATGGATGTGAAAGGGGAACCCTAAAATACAACACATCTCATTTCCAATTATTTCTCAGTCCCACGCCCTCATCATCACTACGTTTATATTTATAAATGTAATAAAATTAATTGGCAAAATGAATGAATAACTATAGGAATCATTTTGATCGAATTTTTTGTTCAAACGATTGATCCAAAATGATCTCGATAAAAATACGGAAGGAAGAAGGAACAAGATGATTCGATAGAAATAATAATAATAATAGAAGAAGAAGATGAAGAAGGATAGGATAGTTGGTTACTACTCTGTGTATCTCAAGATAAAAACCACGTGACTCTGTGGCCAACGTTAAATCCTTAAATTGATAGCAACTCATACACAATGAACTTCATTTATAATCGCCGAGTCTAACTCGAGCCAGCAACTTACAGCTCGGCCGGTTACGAAATGTCAGAAGCCGGATCTTCTCGTCTCTGCTAAAAACGTATCTCACTGAGTTAATAGAAAATCTCTTTGAAAAACAACTACGTCAATAATAATATCTGACAAAATTTATAATCAAATATAAATCAATTGGGAATAAAATAATTCATTAATATCATATAATCTCTTAAAGGGGCGGGGGGGGGGGAAACAAAATTTGGAAATATTATCTCTTTAATTAAAATTAATTCGTATTTATAAAATGAGTTATAATCAATCAGATATTATCTTACTAAAAATAGAAATTCTAATTGGCACGTAATAATAAAAATCAAATGATCCGTGATCAATAAACATTACAATTTATTATATTATTTATTATCTTAGATTAAAATCTACACACAATTTAATATAATATGTTTATTAGTAATTAATTATTAATTCACCTATAAACCAATTATATTATTATTCGACCACTCACCCCTATCTATCTATCTATCTAACACAAATAAAAAGAAATGATGACACACGGATACTTATCGATAAAATAAATAAATAAATTAACGAACGAATGTTATTACAATTATTCATTAAAACAAATATTAATTGTATGAGTAATATATATATATATACATATTGAAATTTGTTGATTTCAGAATACACAGTTAGAGCCGAATAAGTATCATTCGCCGCATGGGTGCCTGGGTTGATGATCGTTTAGCGGAGGAGGAGGAGGTGGTGGTGGTGGTTGTCCTGACAAATCAAGAGGAAAAAACAAAGTATCAAAGTAAGCAGGAGGGCCAATTAAAAAGGACTTACAGAATTTTCGAGGGAGTTTGCAATGATTGCAATTGGACAACGGGTACGGGCCAGTTGCGTCCAACTGACATTATCAACAACATCATCGTCGTCGTCATCATCATCGTATTCTCATATTACGTCGCGTCCGCGTCCGCGTTGTTGTTGTTGCCGTTGCGTCGTCAGTTTAGCAGGCAGTTGTACGAGTGGCCATGTTTAACGTTGTTTAAATCAAGGACGAAACTAAATCGGTATTATTGAATCAATCGAAACAAATTCTTCCGCGTGTGTGTGTGTGTGTGTTATACGAGCCAACAAAAAAGAATTCAATATAGTTTATTCTATTTTATACGAAATCATTTAAAACGTCCTCCAGTTTCCACAGGTGGAAAAAATACGAAAAGAAGAAAACGGGGGATCAGTTTCTTATCTTCTTTCCTCATCTTTTTTTTACATTTACTTTAGAAATTATCTCATTTTAATCGAGGAATTTTGCAAGAGAATAAAAAAAACATCGAAGTTGAGTGCGGGGGTGAGTAGTGTGTGCGCGTGTGTGTTTGTGTGTTTCGAGTGAGATCCATTGATGTCTTTAGAAAAAAATCACATTCGGATAAATTGAGTATCAACGGGAAATAGTTTCTTCTTTACGTTTAACGGTGGTTAACCAATATGGCCGACTGGGTCAAGTTCAAGGGTAACAAAAATAATCGAAATAATGAATCTACGGGGGGAGATTCTGAGAATAATACGTTTGGAAATATTGGTTTGTCGGATGAGGATAAAAATCGACAAATTGTTTATGAGATCGTTGATGATAGGACAACATTTGGAAAACGTTTGGAAGAAAGGATAGACAACAATGATGATGGTGGTGATGGTGGGGGTGATGGGGATGGTGGAGGACAGGAATTGGTGGAGGTACTTTTAGAAAATAATACTTCGAACAATATAAATAATTATAAAGATAATAATAGCGAAGAGAAAAGACTCGTGGATAAAAAAAATAACGATCATCAATGGTTAGAAACGGGATCTAGGATACGTCAAGAAGCTAAAGAAGAATTGACGGATAATAAGAATAATTCGCCAAAGAGACCAATTAGTCTTTACAAGGATGATTCGTCTAGCCCGCAAAAAATGAAGAAGAAGAACGTGTTCAACGAAAGGAACACGCATTTTGTATCACCTACGAGAATTCCTTTATCGTCTAAAAAGGGGGCTTGTAATTCGCCTACGGAAAAGAGTACGGAAAGATTGGTCAATGGTAAACCACCTAGGGAAGAAAAGCAACAACATCATGTACAATTTAATAAAGATTCGAAAAAACAACAATCCAATCAGCAAAATAATTTATCCGAAGAAAGGCAAGAACATGAACGAGAACAGCAACAACATCCAAGCCCATCGATTTCAACTTCAACGAGCAGCAGTTCAGAAGACAATTCGACATTAGATCAATTTTGCGAAGCCAGACCACCCGATGGTGGTTGGGGTTGGGTCGTAGTGGCAGCATCCTTTATGGTCAATCTTATTGCCGATGGGATAACGTTTTCATTCGGCGTAATTTACGTTGAATTTTTGAATTATTTCGGAGCAGGCAAATCAAAGACCGCATGGATCGGCAGTCTTTTCATGGCAATGCCGTTATTGTCAGGACCTGTGGCAAGTTTTCTTACGGATCGGTATGGTTGTAGGAGAGTATCGGTTGCCGGTAGTATATTGGCAACTGTTGGATTTATCGTCAGTTCGTTGACCAAATCAATGGGCTTATTGATATTCACATTCGGCGTGGTCTCCGGTTTCGGATTGTCGTTGTGTTTCGTTGCCGCGGTTGTTATCGTTGCTTATTATTTCGACAAGAAGAGATCTTTCGCTACGGGATTATCCGTTTGCGGTAGCGGCATAGGTACTTTTATATTTGCCCCATTAACCCAATATCTTCTCGTCGAATTCGGTTGGCGTGGAACAATGCTGATAATAGCCGGTTTGTTTCTCAATTTGGCCGTGTGCGGTTTCCTGATGCGTGATCCTGAGTGGACTACGACCAGGGCAAAAGCCAAAACCGAGGAAAGAAGGAAAAATCGGGAAAAGAAAAGATCGAGAATGCAAAGCTCAAGTGCCGATTCATTTTCCGCGAGTAGTTCAGCGAATACAACTACACAAACGCCTCACGGTGAAACTAAGAGAAGTTTTGCATCGGCAAACGCTATGATCATTGAAAATTTTCGTTCCCAGGAGGAGGAGGAGGATAACAACGATGACAAATTATTCTCGAGTTTGGTTAGTTTGCCGACATTCGTTAAAAATGGCGAAAAAGTACCGTTGGAAACTTTGGAATTATTGAGCAATCGTAAAAACGTTTACAATGTATTATTACAAAATTATCCGAATTTATTGATATCATCGAAGAGTTTCAGCGATTCCGGTGCACTTCACGATCAAATCAGTATACCATCGGCTAGATTTGTACCGACTCCTAGTCCGTTGACAGATTTTAAAAACGACGAACGTAATAATCCTAATTCGAAGATTGATGAAAAGGAATTGGTCAAACAGGCTGACGCGACCTATCTTTGGTGGTTGAAAAAAATGAATTCCGATAGTCCGTTACGTCGTTCGAGTACCATGGAACATCCGCGAAGATTACCAACAGCTTATTTGAAAGATATCAGAATGCATAGGCATAGTCTTACGTACAGAGGTGCCATGCTTAACATCAACAGGTATCGTTTAAGAGCATCCAGTTGTCCGGATATTTATAGGAATTCTATGACCACCATAGCCAAAACTAAATTGGTCTGGTACGCTGGTCTCTGGGAATTCTGGGATTTGATCGTCGACATGTTGGATTTTTCTCACTTTGCCGAACCACGATTCTTACATTTTGCCATAAGTAATTTCCTTTTACATACCTGGTACGATGTACCTTATGTTTATTTAACGGACAACGCTATTGAGATGGGTTTCAGCGAGACAGATGCTTCCATTTTGATTTCGGTTATCGGCATTGCCAATATGATCGGCGAGGTAATTATAATATTGTTTTAATTAATATTTAATTATATGGATATAATGTAATAATGATATTTAATTGAAATATTTAATGTGACATTTGTAGATTATTCTTGGCTGGGCTGGTGACAGAGATTGGGCTAATGCATCAATCTTGTATGCAGGTTGTATGATACTTTGCGGTGGTGTTACGGCTATGATACCTTTGGTTGTCAACAATTATGTTATGCTATGTTTAATATCTGGTGCCTTTGGTCTATTCATCTCGGCGAATTATAGTCTTACAAGTATCATACTAGTCGAGATGATCACTATCGAAAGATTTACCAATGCCTATGGACTTTTACTTCTAGTTCAAGGTGTCGCTAATCTTATGGGTCCACCGTTGGCTGGTAAATATATTTCAATAATTATTATATTCAATTATTTAGAATTATTCTGTCTCTTCCAAATTGTGTTTCATATTATTTTGGTGCAACAGATTTAGGTATTTCAATTGTAGGATTTCTAACTTTTCCATTTAGAATTTTGGAATCTTTTTAATTTGTCATTATCTTCAATGAATGATTACTAGTTCCCTTTTTTTGTATCACCAAAGTTACTAGAAACAAAACGTGTACGTTGATTCCAATTGATACATATTATCTTTTATTAAAAAAAAATGTTTTAATTCAATAAAATCGTAATAGAAAAAATAAGAATAAATAAAAATACCCTTCTTATGTAATACTATTTCCAATTTTTGTCAAAGAGATTAAAATACTTTGAATGTTTAGTAACTTGTTAATGGTTACAAACACCTCATACCTTTAAGTATTGAAATTTGTCAATTAAATATAAAACCTTCGACCTTATCGATCCGTTCTTTATTCTTTCAGGGTGGCTTTATGACATCACCGGATCATACGATCTCCCCTTCTACTTGGCCGGCTTCTTTATCGCTTTAAGTGGGGCGTTGCTTTTGGTAATGCCGCTGATTTTGCTCTATAGAAAATTTAGGTCAGGAAGAAGTTCGAAGGATGAAGTTGCCAACAAGGATTTCGCCGAAACGAATAACGTTTAAAAACAAAACAAAAATATAATCACACAAAATAATCGGATCTTCGATATATATATATACATGTATATATATATATATTTTTTTTTTCCTTCGATAAGATATGACAAAATGTTTATACGAAGGAAAGATAAATAATATGTGTGTATATATATATATGTAGAAAGGGGTGGGGAGGCTGAGAAGGGGGCAGGATAGAAAAGAGGAAGCCTCAAAAAAAAAAAAGAAAGGAAACTTTATCTTTATTTTTATTTTTTTTCTAAATCAATAATTTGAAAATGTTTTATATGTGTTAGGGAAATGAGAATAAGTGATTTATACAAATTAGAAAAGGGAATAAGGAAAGGAAGGGGAAAAAGATATAGGAGTACATAAATTGTTATGCATTTTGAAAACAAATGTTTTTTAAATGCATCATTTTCATCGTTGCGTTACGCACGTCTTATACAATATATATATATATATAAATAAAATATCAACTTTATTGTTGATTGTGTGTATGTATAAAACTACTCTTTTTATTCTTCTTCTTCTTCTTCTTCTTCTTCTACTTTTTCTAATTCTACTTCTCATTATTCTTATTAATTACTTCTTCTTATTCTTATTATTATTAATACTATTATTATTAGAGAATTATTCTTAATAATTATTCCAATATCTCTAACGTTTATGGTTCCTCTATAGAAAATAGAAAAAGAGAGAGAGAGAGAAAGAAAGAAAAAAAGAAAGAAAGAAAAAAGTTAGAAGAAATATGAATCATGCAGGTCCAAAGTCGGTCGATCGATAATTATATTTACAATAATATACATATACACACGCGTAATTAAATAATAATAATAATAATAATAATAATAATAATAATTTAATAAAACAAGAACGAAAAATGGAAAGAAAAAAAAAAATACAATAAAAAGAGTATAAAAAAAAAGAAAAAAAGAGAAAAAAAGAATGAAAAAGTTTGAAAAAAATTCGCTGATGATCGTCTCCAAGGCCAAAAATAATGAAATCTCGCGATTGGGTGGTCAATTTTTTAATGGTGACTCTTTGTGCGTGTGCGTGTACGCGTGTATGTGTGTTTTCGATCGGAGATAAAAAGAAACGAAAAAAAAAAGAAAAAAAAGAAAAAATCTAATACAAACAAAATATATTTCAGATCTATTGTTATTATTATTATTATAATTATTAATATATAACGAACAGAAATAAAATAGTGTTCTATAAGAGTTATAATTAAAATACGATAGAAATATGTACAAATTAGAATGGAATGATGGTGTGGTAAGGCAAGGGGTTGGTGAAAGAAAGGAAGGAAGGAAGGAAGGAGGAGGAGGAGGAGGAGGAGGAGGGGGCAGCTTTCATATAAAAGAATAAAAAAAACAAAGACAAAACATGAGAGAAAATTTGTTAAAATCGTAATAATTATATATATCGAAGCGTAATAATAATAATAATAATTATTATTTCGATTGAATATATTGATCGTCGTGTAAAAAAAAAAAATCTTTTTGTTTCTCGAAAATGAACGATAACGATAAAGAATTAATCGAAAAAGATAGTTTTTCATTTTCTTTTTTCCTTCTTCTTTCCCGGTATTGGCTAAGCTAATCGACAACAGTTAATTATATATTATATATAATACAATTTCGAATCTCAGGATATTTAATAATATTAGTAATTAATTGCATTGTGTACGTATATGCATAAATTATATATTATCTTAATATTGTCCTATTATATATTATTATTATATCGTAAACGTTGCGTTTTCAATTAAGTTACACTTGTATACACTTATAGGTTTAGATTAGATATATATATATAAATATATACATAAACACTTACACACACACACAAACACGAATTTATCGTATACATATAATATAACACACGCGATATACTATTACTCCTTACATATAATATATAAGCAGATGCACGAAGATACACGGATAAACATAAAACATAGATAAAATCTACTAATTAATACAATTTAAGAAAAAATGGTGAATAAGTTGGTGTCATGGGAATCAATTGTGTTCATCCAGGCACAATATTCGCCTAACTTGTTCCATTCATATTTCTTTTTCATATATAATTCAATCATATTGTTTAAAAATATTTTCAATAATATTTCTAATCAGTTCTATTTATATATTTATATTTTCTTTTTTATTATATTCTCATATGCATCTTAACGTATTAAAATATCATTTGACAAGTTATTCGAAGATAATGCTTTCAAATTATCATAGTGATTATACATGATGATATATAAAAATCGTTTTCAATTGATAGAAGATTTGGGGAGGGGGGTGAGTTAGGAGTATTAATAAAATATATTTTTTTTCATTGTGGTAACATAACACGAATTAATTATATGCATAAATGTAGGTATCCCCATAAGTAAAACGATTTTTATCTCAGCGTTTATGTGAATGTATTTTCTTTTTTTTTTTTAATGCATTATGCATCATATCTCTCTCTCTCTCTCTCTCTCTCTCTATCATTCTCTGTCTTTTTTTTTCTTTATAAATTAATTATTTCAACGTTAACGTTGTTAATATTATTTTATTTTCACCTTAATTTTATTACTATCATCGTAATAATTAATCATATCGATCTTTGTCATCATCATCATCATCATCATTATCATCATCATAATCAATAACAATAACAATAATCATAATCATTAATCGTAGCATCAGGATATGGCGCGTACTCGTAATTTAAAAAAAAACAAAAAATCAAGAAAAAAGAAGTGTCTGTAAATAATAATAATAATAATAATAATAATAATGGTATATGTATATAATTATATATACTGCTTTTCTGTGATGATGAATCAATGGATTCGATGATGTGCGAGTTATTATACAGGGTGATAAGAAAAAAAAAAAAAAGAAAGAAAGAAAAGGGTGTTCGATATTCGAAGGGATTTTAAATGATACTTAAATATTAATGAAATATATTTATTTCAATTCGAAATAATTTATTTGATATATTATATCAAAAAGTATTAGTTCAAAATACTCTTTTGTCGGAGAAAGTTTATTAAATAATTAATTAATTAATTAATTATAATTTAACAAGAAAAGGGAAGTGTATGATCTTTATAAATTCGTTTGAATTATCGAACATCCATCTTTTTTTTTGGGGGCAGAGGGGTGGGATTTTTTTTTCTTCTATCACACCTCGTATATATATATACATATATATAAATATATAAGGACAAATGGAATTTTAGCTTAGTTTTTGCGTAGCATAAATGAATGGATGAAGAGTGCGAATTATAACAGAGAAAAAATGATATTTAATGTATTATCCGTGCCCTTTTTATACGAAGGATCGAACAAACAAAACAAAAAAAAAAAAGAATAAACAAAAAAGAAATGAATAAACATCTTATTACACGGATTATATAGTTTCACGTGGCCTTCGTATCGATTTAGAATTATTAATCTCATATCTACTTTTCTCGCGAACTAGTGTGTTGAATAAATGATAAAGAAGAAAAAGAAAAAAAAATAATAATAAAACAAAAAGTAAGAAGTAACAAACAAACACATAGAAAATAAAATAAAAGAAAAGAGAAGAAACGAATAGAAATCTAAAAAGAATTCAAAGTAAAAACTTAAATGGTGTGCGATTGATCAAGTATCCAGTTGTTCGTAAAGAAATTGGAATCGATACAAATGCATCTAATGCAAAAGTTTAATTGCAATGATTATATGAAACAATTTTGAAAATATCTAATAGCGTAAAAACCTTTTTAATCCGAGTTTCTAATAAAACATTCGTCGCTGCGTTTTACTAAGAATACGATTATTATGAGATCGGTGTGTTTTTGTGATATTTAGTTAGAAAAATATTCTATATATATA